TGGGCTTATTGTCGTCAGTCGAATCATGTTGCGCATATGTCAACATATATCAACATATGCCTAAGCGATATGATGAGTGCTATCAGGAGAATATTTTGAGTGTACAATGCTGCCGAGATATGCCCAATAGATATTACACCAAACGCTTGGTAGACACAAAAGGAACTCATACCAAACATCCAAAAGGTTCTCAGAAGACCTTTACATTTATATATTTCGAACTCCACGTGATCCCGGGACCACCTCGGTCCAATGTACATGTACCACCTCATCTGAACAAATTGCATAATTTACAAATTTAGTCTAAAAAATTGATCTACCTAACATAGCCTATCTTTTTATTCTTTACTGAATTTCCACTGAGATCTTTTTATTCCGCTGATAGAATGATTAGTTCACAGACTTGGCCAGGTTAAGATTCCTTTTACTAGTTTAAGCCCTATGAAATCTTGAGAGTTATAGACCTAACTATAACTTTATAGTTTATACTATATGTGCCGCAGTGACATCTCCAGAGATGCATGCATGCAAGTCCTTTGCCTGAATACGGTAAAATATGCTTGTATTAACATGCAAGTGCACGGCAACCATATTCCAAATTTCAATGTCCGCCTAAAATCTGGGTCCTTAATTTCGTATTTGGTGTGATGAAGGCCTGCATTGTTGAAGCTGTCACGAAAGGGACATGACTCAATGCAGCTGCACAACCCCATCCCCAAGCTACTAGTGAGCGAAATAAAAAACAAATCAAAACAACGAGTGGTTTTACGTAGATCACGCTATTAATCACATCTTTTATAAAGTTGAGAATTGGTTGTATAAGTAGGTTCTACCTCAAATTTTATCAGTTAGATCTTCTACGAAGATTTCGTGAATTATTTGTCAAATGTTTGCATATTAAGTTAACCAATTATTATTTAACAAAAAAAATGTCTAATCGATTATTAAGTCCGTGATTTTTCATATAATTAGTTTGGTTTATATTGAATTGGTGTCTAAGACTAAAAGAGATCACTATAGCACGGATTGGATTTGGACACTTTGTCTGTCACGGGCACAAAATGTAAATGTTAGCTTCTAAAAAAATAGAAGTTGCAATCACATCCATGTGCCAAATCAACAACTTGGGAAGGATGTGATTGTTCTTTCTCTTATATTTTACAATATTTGCTCAAAATACACTATTGCATTTCTTTCATCAACATTTCATCAATTTAATCACTTTTCATCTTTTGTTTTCAATCATAGAGAACATAGTGGATCTGTGACTCTTATAAAGTCTTTAAATATGGTAGACCTGAATTTATTCAAGTCAATTGGAGCAGCATCTTCTTCTCTCTGCATTTAAATTGAAATTCTCATTCCTACAGTTTAGATAAATTTGACGTAGAATGTTGATTATACAAAAAAAGTCCTTAAATATTATGCAATTGGAGGAATTACATTTCCTTACTATACATATGAAACTCATGTGAGCGCAATCACATTGATTAAAGTTGATATACTCTTCCCTCATGCATGCCCGAATTCGAATTCCTTTTATGCTATTTATCATTAAAACTTCTAAACCCAATGTTTGAACTTCTAAACTGTTTCAAGTTGGAATATCTTTTATCTCATTAATTAAGTTCTTTTTTTTAGTCAAAGCAATGAGGTTTAAGGTTTTCATTGATAGAAGAAGAGTTACAGTCAGTGATTAATTAAGCCTACATGATAACATGATTAACAATTCCTTCAAGCAATGATCCCAGAAACACATGAAAATATTGATTAGCATTATTGAATGTTAAGGAGACCACTTATATAAATCATATTTTGTAAACCATATAACGCGATTATTAATTATTAAAATATTATTTAAATGTTGATTAACGTACTTATTTTATATTAATGACACATTACTTAATTTACAAATTTAACCTTAAGAATTAGTACGTAACACTACTCCTTTTCAAAATATATGTGGCCAGGCAGGGTGGGCTCTGACCATTTTCAGTTGGACCTATACTGGACTAGATTGGTATCAGAAACTTCAGTCTAAAGCCTGGCTCAAATTAATAGGTCAGCTGGGGCCATACGAAAAATTAGGAGCACGTAGCTAAGCCAGTGTCATATCAAATCTCCTGATTGAAAATGATAAAAGCAATAAATGAAGCCCACTTTATTTAGGACTTGGATTCTCTGCCCTTCCATTTCGGTGTCCTTTTCGTGCCCTTCTGTTTTGTGTGGTCACGATTAATTCATGTTAACATTTTATATTATTTTTTATAAAAATAATAAGACAAAATAAAAATAGTAATATAAAATATTGACGTGGCTTAACCGTTATCATACAAACAGGAAGGCACGGAGAGGGCACCGAATTGGGAGGGCAGAGAATCCAAGTCCCTTTATTTAATCTATTTTCTTGGGTAAATTACATTTTTATTTTTGTAGATTAAGGCATGTAACAGTTTGGTCCTCGTTTTTTATTTTTCAAAAGTTTCGCATTGTAACATTATTGATCATTTTATTTGCCAAACTATCAAGTTAACTTCTATTTTTTTTTGTTACACGGCATTAGATGAAATTACTTTGTACTTTCAAATTGATGTTATAGGTCGTTATTCATTTCTTTTTCTATTTTTTTTTGTCGATATAGGTTTTTATTAATTTCTGTATGGATCTAGAAGTTGAGATTTTATAAGAAAATGTTCTTAATTGTTGTCCTTCGATATGACTTCGTGCAAGAAAAAAGGGCCTACTAATTGCTACATTGAACCGTAACCGTAGGCATTCAAGCCAAAAACCCAACTTTTGTGCTTTGCTTTTTTCATTCGCATTGAGAGTCGGTGCCACCTTTTCACCCGTAATGGGTGCTTTTCTGATCTACGTCTCAAATTTGTGCTCTTTGTTCTCTTGTTTTCTCTCTTGTTTTCAGTTGATGTCCCTTCTTTTAAGCCCCAATTTTGAACCGAACCCCTATATCTCTATCTTCTCTTTCTTTCTCTCCTTCTCCACCCACCACCACCGCATCGCCTTCTCCAACCACCAACCCCATACTTTATCTATCTCCCTCTTTTTCATCTCTCGTCCCCCTCTGTTATGGCCCCCTCCTTTGCCCATTGACAAAGGCTGTTGAGAGTATGAGTTCACAAGGAAGGAAAGGAACTTGAATATGCTTATAAATAATCATACCACTTCTTATATTATTAAATGATTTTATGGTGGAATAATTCAAACTTTTTTTATGGTATTAGAACATGTTGTCTCATATGTGAACCTAACGATCCAACGACCACACGTGCTCTTTATTTGTGTTGTCGAAGTGTTAGGCTTGAAAATTCGCCGCACGTGAAAGAAGTTTGTTAAGAGATCTTACGTATGCTTATAAGTAATTGAGTTATTCCACATATTACTAATTGATTTTATGGTAGAACCTTAACTTTTTTTTTTTAATTTCTCAACGACTACTCTCCGCTTCTCGGATCAACGGCTGCCTCCGTCAAGAATCTTGCTCGATGGTGCTTTTTGGCGCCAAGCTGCATTTAAAGTGCAAGTTGCTAGATTTGGTTGGATTCTGAAAGCATTTTTTGCGCAGATGGCTAGTTCATTTCCGTTCGTGCCTTTGGCTCTTCCGTTTACAGGTTTCTCTTTAGTGGTTATGGGTTTTGGTCGGATGGCTGTGCGGCTGCGATGTACGGGATAGAGGTGCGGCTGCTGTGTTGCTTGCTAGATTTAGGGTTTTCTATTTTGTGTTGTTGTGGGCTGAGGCGAGCTTTACTTTTTCTGTTTATGCTTACTTTTTAGCCTTTGTAATTATCTTCTTGTTTTGGGATGTCTCGTTTGGCTTTTAATGAATGTTTTATTGAAAAAAAAGATGTGGGCAGTGTAATTGGCATTTGATTTTCCAAATATTTGATGATCCCACTGTCATTATGATGTGGTAACCCATGCTGCTTTGAACAGTTTTTTTTTTTTGTATTTTGAACAAATTAAATTCAAATATATGAATAATAGCTGCGTTTCTGCCTTTGTGGTTAGGGTTTATTTCCAAGTAGTGAAGGCCTAACGTTTGGTTTACATTCGACTAGGCAAAACTCTAGTTATGTGAAATGTTATCATAGAGGCGAGTTGAAGGTCCAGCTTCAACAACATTGATATTGTTTTAAATTTGGTAATTACCGCATGCACAATCCGTCAGGTGATGTGATGTTATCACAAAAAACCTCGATATTAGTTAGAATGAAATTAGGATATTTAAAAACTATTACTTCTCTTTTTCTACGGCCGATGTGGGATTCAACAATGTTCGACTCCTCCATCCACAAATATCGCTTGTATAAATTTTTTTAACGTAAAACTTACAAATCCCAAAGTTTGATGCTCTTAATTCCCATGTTCACTTCTCAGTTCCCGGCACTTTCGTTTGAATGTGACTCCAACATGGCAAGCTGTGTGCCCAATATTTGTGGTAGTGGCTGCAGCCTGCACTCAGCAGGTACCTTCCTAAGTTCCTAGTCCTTATTAACGCGTCAATCCTCTTCTATGTAACTTCACAATTCCACAAACGGACTCGGTTTGACAAAAAAACGCAGATATGTTTTAAACTTTTCACATTTGTCGAACACCATTTATCAGAGTCCGGCGAATAAAATCAAAATAAATCCATTTCTTTTTTCTGAGAATTTCTTTCCACACAGAAAAATAGTCTAAAACCATGTCCCCTTAACAACTGACCAGAAAAAAATGTCCCTTGGCCTTTACGTTATTTTTTCTCTTTGTTTTGGCCAAGTTTCACTTTGATCTATACCGTTTCAAGTTTTGTGATTTTATATTGTAATTTAAGCGCTCAATAACTTAATTTAGTCAAGCATCTCGATAAAATTATTGTCGCAAACTAAAACTCTTTTATTTTTTTAACAAACTAAGATTTATAAATAATTCGGTCTTTTTCTTTCTAACCAAAAAGACAAAAAGAAAGTTCCATTTGAATTTCGATTGCTGCCCTCCCTTATCATCATCATCAACCCAAATAAAAAAATCAAATTTAGATCTCCGAATCCAAACCCCAAATAGCATTCATATAATAACTCATCAACTTTCTCGTTCTCCAAGCACTCCTTTCAAAAGCACTTCCTTCACGCCCCTCTCCCAAACGCGTAACAGCCAACCCTATTTTAATCCCTCCAACCCACCAAACCAAAAACACAAGAGTCATACCAGAAAATACAAACACAAAAATGATAGATCAAGAGAGGCCAGCCGGAACTCCCCCCCACGGGATTCTGCTAGCGGTGGTGGTCGTGGCGGTGATCATGGTGCCGTACTTTCTAGGTGACCAAGGCGAGGCCATAACGGAAGCCATCTCCGAGCTTTTGAGCCCGTTGGGTCTTCTCCTTCTCCCCATTATTCTCCTACTCACCATTCAGTTTCTGTCATCGGACAGCGGCTCATTCGTCTCCTCCTTGTTCTCGACCGGAGAGCCCGACACCATCCACAGAGTCAGTGGCTCCCCGGTTGGGGTTGCATTGTTTCTCGTCCTTGTCATATTCCTTCTTTACAATAGGGTTTCGATCTTTGGCGGCGGCGACGACGGGGATGATTAGTTACGGCGTGAATCCGGCCGAGTTTAATGCATGTATTTGTGTATTACAGTTAATTATACAGCTTAGAAGGGATGTAGGAGTATTAGTACTGGGGTACGTACTCAAACTTCTTTTCATGTATGAATGAACATGGCCTGGGGGTGGGGTTGAATTGTAATTAGAGGCAATAACGAGGTGACGAATGGAATTTCAGGGCGATAATATGAGGATATTTTGATCATTTAAAATAGTTGAGGGACAGTGTCGGTGCGAGGAGCGGTGTTGCCTGCCATCTTCGCTCCGTACTTTATGGCCTTATTTGTTGAAATGAGTGATTTCTGCACATTCCGTTTTTACTTTCTGCACTCTTGTTTAATTTTGGCTGCTTTTGATTTTTATTTGATTTGTTCAATTGCTCAATTAAAAAATCATGTTCAAAAGTGAAAAATGGTGGACAAAAATTACCTCCCTTCTTCATTCTTTCACGCGGGCACGTGGACGCTCTTTTTTTTTTTTTTTTAAACAAACAATAATTTATATTAAGGAAGAGAGAAATGAGTTTAGCTTTACAATATACCAGTAATAATGTAATTCAAATTCGTTTTTGTGAGAATTGAATTTAAGACTTTTCATATACAAGTGAAAGATAATATAACTAGGCTGTAATACTAAGTATCTCGCGATCACCCCTTTTGATTTGATCTAATTTACTTTTAGATGCATTGGGCTCAAGATTGATAATTTTCTTTTTAAGTAATAAGTTTCATTAGTCTTGTAATTATATTTATATTTAATAAATTATCTTGTGGTTATATTTATGCTCAATAAGTTAAGTAGTGAAGAATTTGGGATGCATCTTTGTGTATCTGTCCTGAAGAAAGTGGAGTGGGAACGTGATACAAAATTAAAAAATGGTGGAGAAAGAAGCAAACGATCCTTCCTTCTTTGTAAATATTATAATTAAGCAGATGCAGTGGACTGACGTGAACATGTGCAGGGTTTGCAGGGGCCGTGTTTGGCAAATTCAACTAGGGTATGATATCCACACACCTATTTTTACTTCTTCCACATCTTTTTAGTTTTTGGTTGTCGGATCGGATGAATTGAAGAAGATCAACGGACAGAAATTAATAAGGGTGTGTGTGAAGTAAAAAGGGATATGTGGATAGCACACCCCATTCAACTATTATAACCTTTTTAGACCATATTTGAGTGACAGATTTTCAAGAGACAAGAGATTGATATCAAAGTTAGTAATGAACGGATCACAAAATATTAGATGAGAAAGATTAGAATGTGAGATATAGACATTAGCATGTGATCGGAATTCAGACCCAAAGACCTTGAATGGAATGAATGGTCGAACGCCAGCCCCTGAACCGGCAGCTGCCCACTCTTGCCTTAATGTGCGCCCACCCCTGCTTAGAGGGATGACCCGAGCTCATAAAAGCTATGGAGGTATCTCAATTTCTGACATTGAATATCTGATGAAGTTCCAATGAGCAGTAGCAAGTAGCAACCATGTATTTTCACTCAGGACTAAACTTGTGAAGATATCCTGTACTCCCAGACCATCCCAAATCCTTGGGCTAAAAATTAAAATTTTTAACCCATAAAATTTAGGGAACTTTAACGAAAAGCACCAGGTACTGTTCACTTTAACGAAAAACCACATTTTTACCCTAAAAAGTCAATCCTGGTACTATTCACTTTACCCTTTATTTTGTCCTTATCATTAAAACTCAAAGTTTTCAAGCCATTTTCATTAGTTTTCCTTAAAATTTAACTTTTAGCCTAGAAACAACTTTTCTACTCCAACATTTCTGACCTAAAATTTTAGCCCTATATTATCAAAGAATGAACTTAGGCTAATTTTTTTCTTAAATTAACTTCTTTTAAAAAAAAATATGTATACTATCGTAAATTAATTTTATGAACATTTTAATCTAAAAATATTTAAATTCCAATAAATATTGAAAAACCACTAAATTGATACATGAAACTCATGAAACACTATGGAAGAATATGAAAATCATGATAGAGATGTATAAACACAAAATACATGAAACTTACAAGACACACAGAACACATGTGACACATGATAGAGATAAACACTCACAGAACACATGACACACACAAAACACTTACCAAAATACATACAAAACACATGAAACGCATGAAATACAAACCTACACACATGAAACTGAAACCTTCAATCATCCTTTACATAAACACAGGTTGAATATCAAACCATCACACAACATATTCACCAATCTTTCAACTTTCAAAGTGTTTTGTTTCCTAAAATCCTCAATATCTCATCAATGGGTGATAGAATAAGGCATAGCAGGACAATACAGATGGCACAATACCAAGCAAGCCTTGACCATGCGGATGCAGAAATGATCAACGCAAAAGCCGAATTTGCAAACTCACTTATGCAATATGAGCACCATGCCGAATCTAGCAATCGTGGTTCTGTCACGGGGCGTTCATTTGTGTAGCGTGATAGAGAAGAGTGTCATGACTGAATGATGAAAGATTATTTCATCAAGCGTCCGAGATATCCTGCTCAAGATTTTCAGAGGCAGTTTCGGATGAGGAGAGAGCTTTTTGAAAGCATCTTGAAAGCAGTTGTCAATCATGATCACTACTTTGCAAGGAAGATAGATATCGTAGGCTGACAAAGTCTATCACCTCATCAGAAGCTCACATCTGCATTTCGGATGCTATCTAATGGATGCTTTGCAGACTCAACTGACGAGTGTTGCCAACTTGCGAAGCCTATTGCTATTGAGAACCTTATGCACTTCTGTAAGGCAATTGAAGCCATATATAGAGCCACATACCTCTGCAAGCCAAATCATGAAGATTTGAAGAGGCGTCTACGCAAGGTAGACAAAAGAGGCTTCCCTAGCATGATAGGAAGTCTAGATTGTATACATTGGGAGTGGAAGAATTGTCATACTATTTGGGCTGGCCAATTCAAGGGTCGTCATAACAAGCCAACCATCGTGCTCGAGGATGTGGCGTCTTACGACACATGGATTTGGCATGCATTCTTCAGCGCTTCTAGATCAAACAACGATATCAACATTCTTTGGTCTTCTCCTCTGTTCGATGATGTTGTCGATGAATGGCACCAGAATATCAGTACAAGGTAAATGGTAATAGGTATGAGCTAGGTTACTACCTAATTGATGGTATCTCTAATATTAGAATGCCAGTAGTGGGTTTTGGTGTCTCAAGGCTTCACCAAAAATAATTGGACACAAAAGCCCTTGAAAAGTAATATGGCTTGCACGCTACTCTTCTTTTGTCATTGTTAGGGTTCTAGGATTGTTAGTTCATATTAGAGGTATCAAGAGAATATATCATTATCGAATTACCTTCTTAATTTTTCCAGTGTTCATCACTATTTCTTAATCTTCAATACTTTTTTTCCTACGGTTGTGTAGGATTATTCTAAAAGCATCCATTTTAATTTCATGTTGATGACATTTTAGAAAAATAGTATAAAAATAAGTGACAAGGTATTTTTCTATTTTACTCACGTTGGCTTTTGGTTTATGAATTATGGTTCTCTAATCAATTTAAGAATTCTTCACATTTCGGCACATTGTATTGTTTCTTCTTCTTATATATTAATTTTGACTTTTGGTTCAAGTGGAGGAATGACGGGAAAATGTTGTTGATTGCATTAACGACATCAAACAAGTATTTCTCCCTTCACTTCAAACTTTCGTTAGTGCGAGTATGAGTATTGTCATTTGTTTCATATGATTTTTATGTATTATCCCTTTGTTTGAAATGTTTTTATAATTTCAGAGGTCATCATTTTTTCTTCGTTCTTCTTTATGCAAGAATTGTTGTGTTCCCTATATGTAGCAATATGATATAGCACACGGTATTGCATATCAAACCAAATGAATTTCTTTAAATTGTTGCTTCGAGCTGCTTCTATTGAAAACTCTTTTCTTTAAATGAATTTCTTTAAATGAATTTCTTTAATATGATATAGCACAATATACTCTTTTCTATTGAAAACTCATTGTATAATATTAGAAAATCGTCTATAAATTTTGTTTAGTGTTTTCATATTTCATATCAATATATTAATACCGTGCATACCTTTCTCAAATATGAACGACCCCACACATTAATAAATTTGTAACTCTAGCATAGTGTGCTATGATTAAAAAAAGGTCTTTCGCACGCGCGAAAGCGCGTGCAGAAAGGCTTGACACGTCCCGATTCCGATATTACTCGAATACCAGGATAAGCACGTGTTGGCCGACACCCGAATGTGATGAAAGTCATTTATTGAGTGCAAATCCTGAGAATAAAGGAATAAATAAGACTTAAAAATATAAAAGAATAAAGAATATGCATTTAAAGAACATGTTCAGAGCATACAACTAACCAGAACACTAAAAAAAAATAATATAAAAATTGAATGAACAAAGGAGTAGGTCCTACACCAAGAGGACTCGAAGATACCGTTGCAGAAGTGCCTTGACGCCGGGATTGTATGTCTCGATTCTAAGTCCTGAATGGGGGCGCAAAACAAAGGTGAGTGGACCAAATTGATATATATATATATATATATATATAAAACTACTAGCATAATAAGTGATAGTTTTACTGAAAACCCTAGCATGCCAAAAACATCTCAAAAGACATATCGCGGAAATCAAAACATCAATCGTCTCACAGATCGTCTTGTAATCGCGGTGTGCTGTCAGTAAGATCACTGAATAAATATAACTCCCGGCCCTATGCCAGCACCGTGGTCTCTGCGCTCGTAGCCAGAGATTGCTAACTCCCGGCCCAATGCCTGCTCTGTGTCCCTCAGCCCGTAGCTAGGGATTATTTCTCCCGGCCTATCTGCCAACACCAGATCCTCGCCCCAGGCGGCATAGTGTCCACTAGGTACGCATAAATAGTTACGCCTCTCATAAATAACCACTTCATAGTATAAAGTCATCCATCGTTTATACTATAAAGAGGGGTTTCTAAAACATGTCTAGCATCCTATCGTCATCTATCACATAGTCTACTAGTTCATGGTTTTTATAGAAAGTACGATATATTAAAATATAGCTCAATATAGGCCAACAATTAATTCCTTACAAAATAACGAGATGATAATCAACATTTCAGTAAACATGCTTAAAATAAAATCAGTTCATAAATTTGTAAGGCATGCATTTCATAATTTTATAAGAGTTCCACTCACCGTACACCGATGGTGCAAAGTTGTACCAAAAGGAATAACGGAATCACCGTTAATAATTGCACATATTCACATAAAGGAGTACATTTAGTCAAACTCTATTCAAATGATTGGATTTGGAAAAACGGACTTCAAAAACAGGTCTAGGACCTCGAAATTAGCTTAGAAGATGTCCCGTTGACCGTTGACCGGTCAACCCTAAAAGTTAACTGTTGACCGGTTAAAGTCAAAGTCAACGGTCAAAATGGTCAGATTGGGCCTTAAGGGTTTTTGGGTCAAAAGGGTTTAAAAAGGGTAAATGGGCCAAAGGCCCTAATCCTCACAATGCCTAAAGGCCTGTCTGAAAGGGTTTAAGGGGATTGGGCTCAAGCCCTTAACAGAAAATGGCCCAAAGGGCCTTATTTGGTTTAAAACAATTTAAATGAAAGAAACTAAAAAGGAAATAGGTTTTGGGTTGAAGAAAGAACGGGCCGAATGCCCTATTAGGAACGGCCTAAAGGCCTTTTTGGGTTTAAATAAAAAGGAAACGGGTTGCTACTAGGCTGAAACCAAAATGGGCTTAAGGCCTGTGGGTTGAGAAACGGCCTGAAAGGCCTGGGTGCACTAGAGAAGAACGCCGGAGCTTCTACAGCTCCGGCCGATTGCAAACATAGTCTTTAGGGTCCGATCTAGGTATCAAAATGAAGCACAAGATGAGAGGAGTGTGTTTATACCTTCCTTTTGTCGTAGAACGGCCGGAGACGACCAGAAAATCCCTCAACTCACACGAGTTTGCCGAAGATGGGTGAGCCCTCCTCCGAGTCGATTTAGTTCTAAGAACCTTAGAAAAATAACGAGATAACACTTAAAATCACATCCAAGTTTCAATCTAGAACAGGTAGAGGGAGACCCGAGGTTTACCTAATTGGAAAAATTGAAGAAATCTAGCCGGAGAGCTCTAGGGTTTCCTCGAGTTGTGCAAGGACATGAGAGAGAGAAAAAGACGAGGTTTAATGATGATGATTGTTGTCTTCCTCATGCAGGTATTCAGCTGGGTGTGTGTGTGTATGTGTGTGTGTGTGTCTCTCGGTGAAAGAGGGAGAGAAGAGAGAAGGGAAAGAAAGCATAGACAGAAAAAATAAGGAGAAAAGGTCACGAGGGTAGGGGACATAGAGAGAAATGTGAGGTTTGTTAGGGTGCTGCCACGTGGCAGTTTGAGGGAGTTTAGGAATCTAGATAGAGGGTCTAGATTTAATCTAGCTAGGGGACCAAAATGAAATTTTTATTAAAATTTTAGGGACTTACGAAATTATACAAATGTTTGGGGGTTGGGTGTAACAAGGCTAGTTTATCTTAGTTTGTCTACCTTTGTCAAAAGTTATTCTTATCCCGATAGTGCGAAGAAGAAATTATTTTCGCAGAGGCAAGAGTCTTACAGGAAAGATGTGGAGAAAACGTTCGGAATCCTACAAGCTCGATGAGCCATTGTTAGAAGGGCTGCACAATTGTGGCATACCGAAGACCTCCATTCAATCATGATAACGTGCATAATTTTGCACAACATAATTGTGGAAGATGAGTACATCGAAATTGAAGAAGATTCAAATGAAGATGTGGATGATGACCAACCAACATATGCAAGAGCTATGGCAAGAGATGTGTAATATCTCGCTGCAACTACATATGAGACCCGGTAGGATAGGGTCACATTGAGTGAGTATATGAGAATGTTAAATAGAATTCAAGCTCCTCAAAGTCATGACACACTCTGCAAGGATTTGGTTGAGCATATATGGCTTCGAGAAGGTAAACGTTGATGATGTTGGTGTATTAATGTGTTCTTGTGTTAATTTTAAGTGTGTTATGTTGTTATTTTATGTAATAATTTTAAGTGTACTATGTTGGTGTTTTCTAGTAATAAATTGAAGCGTTTTCTTGTGCAAAGTCTTTTGTGTAGTACGTTGTCAAAATTATTGAGTGTCGTTTGAATTATTAAAGGCATCTATTGTACATCAAAGTGTGCAATAATAAGTACAATAATTATTGAAGGCATCTAGATTAATAGAAACAATAATTAATAAGCCATAAATTTAATACACACAACAATTAATAAAGTACATAAACTTAATACAAACGATAATTCATAAACCACATAAACTTAATACAATCAATAATTTATAAACTACATAAACTTAATAATGATACCCACCATCTTGACTTGGTGGTGGACTTGATGGTGGACTTGGGATATAGCATTGAGGTGATTCATCATCTTAAAATATACTCATTCTGGCATACTTTCGCAAAATTTCCTTTTGCTTACCACGTAGAAACTTCTTCCTCTCTGGAGTGTATTTGTTGAGATCCTCCATCATGAAATTAATTTCAAACCTCTCTTGCTCCCTATCCCTTTCTTCATTCATGGCCAAACGCATTCAGGCCGCTTCTTTTTTTCGAGAGCTATGGCTTTCGGACAATCTTGCAAATCCGGTAGCAATGTGGCCACTCATCGCTCTTGGGACTTCCCTTTTCTCTTTGCTTCCTTTTGCTTATCTCTTCTTGGGGCCTTGCAATAGAAGAAGTTGGGGTCATTTCATCGACACCTTCATTGACACCTTCATCTCCATCATTTGTCTGTGCGACTTCACGTTGAAATAATCTTCCCCATTGTTGGTATGCATCGGTTGCCCACCTCGAACAATCCTTGAGGACGTCCCAAGCATGATGCAACTTAAAAGGTTGATTTTTTGTTGTTACTCTTGTCTTGCAAATTGTCATTGCTTTGTCACCATATGCAAAAAATACATAAAAAGAATTAGTTGCAAAATAATATTATGTACATGACAAATAAAATATCAACAAAAGAACTCACAATTTTTGCGACGCTCCTTCCACTAGCCATGTCAGCCATGACTCTCTCCAAGCTTCCCTTCCATAAAGTGCATGCTTTGTTGATAGTCTTCCACCGATCGTAAACACCGTCACATTCCTTCCCGCCATCGTTGCAATTTTCATGGAACTTTTCAATGATTTTATCCCACAAAACCTTTTTATTTTGATTCGTGTCAACTGCACCATCTTCGCTAATAGAAACCCATGCCAAATATAAAGCAACATCTTCCTCACAGGTCCAATTACGACCTCCAATATGCTCTCTTGTCATCTTGAAAATTTTGGAAATCGTAGAAAGAAAAATTGGAAGAATTGTAGGAGAAAAGTGAGTTTTGTGTGAATGTTTGAACAAATACATAGGTATTTATAGAGTTTTTGGGTGAATTTTGAGTTAAATAAATTTTTTTTAATTATTTTAGCCGTTGAATTTAAATTTGGGCCGTTAGATTTTTTTTACCGTTAGATTTGATTATATTCGATCTCAGCCGTTGGATTCAACAAATATATAAATATAAAAAAAATTAAAAAAGAAGAAGTTTGAATCTAGGTCATTGGATCAACCAACAACATGTTGATTCCACCCGTCAGATCAATAGAGTCGTTGGAGCGGTTGGGAAATGTGGCCGACAAGCCCACGTGGGTGGGGCTCAGTATGGCTAATAGCTAGCGCATCGCGCACGTTTGGCGGGTGGGTGGGTGTGGCGCACAAATGCTCAGTTTCAAGCACACCGGTGAGGCCCATGCCGATTCCTGGGCTACTTTTTGGACGGAATTTGGCTTTTGGCTTTTAGCCCAAACATTTAGGTTGGGTTGGGTTGAGTTTTTTTTTTGGGGGGGGGGGGGGGTTTGGTCTTTAGAGTTAGAGATGTTCTTACTCATCCATAGGACACTAGTGCCCTTCTGTTTTGATCCCCTGAACAGGTCCAAGGCAAGCAGACTCTTGCGCTATACATAGGGGTGGTATTGGTACGATTACCGTACCAAAACCCATGTACTAATTACCATACCAAACTTTTGGTATGACAAAATCTATTTCCATTACCGTGCCAAACTTTCGGTATACCGAATTTTGGTATGCCAAATAGTTTGATTAGCATGGTATGATAATGGTAATTACCACTTTGTTTTGGGCCAAAATTTTATTTATTTCAACCCAATTCAAGGCCCAAACGTGTTTTGGCCACTCTCTTTGGGTTTCTAAAACTTTTTTATTTAATTATGAGACTTTTATAGAGATTCATTTAAGAAGTAAATAGATGGAAGAATTGCTGGAAGAACCCAACATCCCTAAATAAAAAAAAGTACAAAGATTCCTAAATTCCATCTCTACATTCTTTAAAATTGTACAAAAGTTAACTTGATAGACGAAGCCAGGGAGAAAGACATCCCAATTTGATGAAGGAGAAGATGAGATGGACTGCGAAGAGAAAAAGAGTTGCCGGAACGGGAGCAACATAGATGAAGCCGATGGCTAGATGAGTGAAAAGATGAAGAGTCGCAGCGCAAGAAGACTTATTTTTTTTATTAGGAAAGTAGAGGTTAGAGGGTGAGATGATTGGATAAATGACTAGGAAAAAAATATAAAGTGCATATATAATGATAATAATACATAATTATATATAAATGAATAAATAAATGATATAATATTAATAGTAGTGGTACGATACGGTATACCACTAGTAATGGTTTTGAATACCATTATCGTACCAAAAATGTATGGTACGGTACAAATACCGTACCATTACCAATGGTACAAATTTTTTGGTACAATTTTAGTATGGTACGGTTGGTAATTCAATTGGTATGGTAATTTGGCAAAAACTTCCACCCCTAGCTATACATGTCACATGCATCCTCGGAGGAGGAGGACTCGTCTATGCGGTACACGGAGCCAGGAGTCCGCGACAGTGAGGATTAAACTGTTCTCTAACAACTCTATGACACTGGCATAAGACAATAGTGCTAAATCAAAGAATACAAAGAAAACTAACAATAAGGGCAGATGCTTAAGTTGCACGGATCGCTACTTGCATATAGACATGCTTTCTATCCGAACCAAATCAAAGGAAACTGTAAACAGCAACTGCATAGTCTGATAAAAAGAATACAAAGAAAACTGCAGGGTTTTAAAGCGGAAATAATCACTATCACAAACCTATTGCTCAACTTTTCATAAACTTTCGTAACTAGTATTGACCTCACAGGTTATTTCAAGAGTTGTGTACACTATTATTTCTAGCCAAACGTTATGCCATTCGGGTGCTGAAAACCCTCGCTACCACTATCCTGGACGACATTCCTGAACAGCTGTGTGGCCAGCTAGTAATATTGGAGAGGATATGCAATCCTTGGTCACTTCCAAAGAAGTCGACAGGAGCATTTACAATATCAACCAGCTGTACTTTGAGTCCAAGTTCGACGTGGTGGCACTAAACATCCACTTCAGCCGTATAGCCTCTGCTTAATAAAAAGTCAAAATACAGAATGTCGTTAAATGGTTAACTTGAAATATGATACCAAATTACCAACCAACAAAGAAACAAGACACATGGATTCAAATTAACATTTTTGGCCAGGGTTAGAAACAAGGCTGGGAAGGATCTACAGTTCTACACTAAAACGAAAGCACTCAAAGTACCCAAACATGGAAAACTGCTTTTAGTGTTTGGCGCTGCAACTTACGTATTGTCCATGAATTATGCTTCAAAGGACTTAAATTTCAAAACCGCACGGTTACTGAGAAATAAGTAGGGGTCAGTAATTGTGCTGAATATGAATTTGTGCTGAAAACACACATAGCACAAAAAGGAAAGAGCAACATTAAACTCCCGTAGCGGATCATGCAATTCACACAATAGGTCCACATGGTAAAGCTGCTTAAAAAAGATGAGGATTCAGCCCCCGGATACAAGGCAACTGTTTAAGTTGATAATTCAACCAGTAGGCTGAATTCAGAAAAAGCTAAGGTTAGGACAGTGGAAGACGTGTTCTAATCAAGCAGACAATGAACAAGCAAAAGTTATAGATCTTTCTCTTTTGAAAAATAAAATATCTAACCTTCATGCTACTCCAAGCTTATTCAATTTGTCGCAGTGAGGAGTAGGTAGATTCTTACTCCAGTGACGCCTTTGAAGCTCAACCCGACAGTAGTGTACAAGCACATTTTTGTAATCCTTGATAACGCTGTTCTCTATGTTATCTCGAGCAACACTTCCAACAGGATAACTCTCATCAAATGCTTGCGATTTAACAAAAAATTCCACTCCATATTTCTCTGTCGTCTTGGGAATCTGGTAGTTGTAATTCTTCTGCAACGAGTAGACAGGCTCAGAGAAGGGCAGATATGCTAACAACACAATTACCAAGAATGGTAATATTTGAACAAGAAGCATGATGTTAGGTCCCCCTCCCTGAGACTCCTCCCTCTGATGGCCAGCTGGTCTACTAGTCCTATAAACACGACCTGTCCGAAACATGTCTGATTGACCAAAGAACGCCCTGAATATCTCATCGGGGTCAAAATCATCGTCAAAAAAGTCATTCCCACCTCTCCTCCTCCTCCTCATATTATTGTGCTGCTGGTTGTACTCAAATTCATCAACCAGTCCAGTCTGATCATACTGCCTCCTCGAATCTCCATCACTCAAACACTTGAAAGCCTTGCTCACTATCTTAAAAGCCTCTTCTGAACCAGGAGCCTTGTTCTTATCAGGATGAACTTTCAGTGACAATTTCCTATAAGCCTTCCTAATGTCCTCACCCGAGCAAGTCTTCTCCACGCCAAGAATTGCATAATAGTCTTTGTATCTCTTAATCTTCCTAACCAACTGAATATGCTCTTCGGTATAACTAACCTCCCCATTCAAACCGCGGTCCAACTTTTCCACACCGGCCCCCTTCCTAATCTCACTAGCACCCTTCTCATCAACAGAAGATGCGGAAGACCCCGAATTAATCGCCTCACACTTAACCAAAAGTGCATCAACTTGCAAATTCTGATTAAGCCGTTGTGCTATCTTAATAAATTTCAACGCACGCCCTTTGTTGCCGGAAGCAATTGCTTCTTCGGCAATTCGAACACACCTCAAAGCTTCATCCTTATTACCTTCCATTGTCAAAAACCTAAAACTCGATAACGAGAACAAGAAATGCCGGCATGGACGAACCAGTGTTCGAATTGGACAAATCCCGATCTCAATTCGAATCCCCAAACGGGGGTTTTCGGTTCCGATTATCCAATCGAAGAATTCAATTTGTCCTAATTTAAAGGAAATAATGCAGATTAGATTCTGATGCATAGACATTGAAACAAAGTTAAGCTCTAAATTGTTGAAATAATTACGGAGAAAATTACCTGAGAAATGGATCGGAAACTCGAAGGGTGAGTGCTTGAATGCTTGTGAGAGAGAAGGCTTTCGAGTTTTGGACACGAACAACCGGGACCAACAGCAGAGGACTCAACAGCGAGTCTCCATTTGATCGCCACCATTGAATGGTCATCCGGCCAATTAGACCACTCCACGTCGGTACTTGGTGCAGAAGAATTTTCCCTCTTATTACAAATGTTTTTTTGGTCAGAATTATTATTACAGAGGTTCAGTCGATAGTTTTCTTTCCTTTTTATTTTGGGTAAAAGACTGTTTACTACTCTCATGTTTCGTGGTTTTCAACATTTAGTACATCAATTTTTTTTCGTCTCAGAGTCATACCTAAAGTGTAAATTTTGGGACAGTCTCATACATCCGTTAGTCAAACTGTTAAATATCCCGTTAACTGTGACGTGGCGCCCATGTGGACAATAACTGGGCGCCACGTGGGTCCACGTGGAATTTTTTTTTTGTTAAAATAATTAATTAAATAAAAATAATAAAAAATAACCCTATCTTCTTCCCCACCCCGAACCCCCCCTCCCTTCTATCTCCCTTCTCTTCTCTGCACCTACCCTCCCTTCTCTTCCTCTGTCTTTCGCCCTTTCTGAAAACTAAAACCCTAAATCAAAATCAAAATCCAAAACTTCCGAATTCGATTCAACAGAGATATGGCGTGCGAGCAACGACGTTCGACAGAGATGGCGCGGCTCTGATCTGGAAGAAGAGGTGGTTGTGGGTGAGTGCACACCCACCCATTCCCCTCTGTAGAAAAATCCGAGAACACCCTCCCTTCTTTCCGATTTCTTGGTGCACGACGGCAATAGTTTGACGATTCGAACACGACAGATCGGAAACCCGAGGAACCTGGAACCAGATATGCGGGTACGGGTAATGGTTTGGAGCCGAATAAACCAGTTGAACCAGCCGGTGGGGAGATCGGGTCGAACGAGCAGTCGAGTAATCCGGCGGTGGAGGATTCGGTGGGCAGAGGGGCCGATGTGTGGGGGGCAGTGGGGTAGTAGGAGGACGAGATCGACGGTGGAGAAGCTGAACTGGGACTTCGGTTGCCGGGGTGATTACGGACTGCTGCGGTCATTACATTTTGGAATGCTAGATTTTAGAGGGTGGATTTCACTGAATCGGGATCCATGTTTCCTAGAAATTGAAAAGTTTTCAGATTTGGAGCTTGGATTGTAGTGTTCTTCAGTAATCAATGGGTTGATTATAAATCTGGGAATACATGGTAGATGCAATTGCTGCTTTTTTTGGATTTTGCAGAGGAAAAAGGTTCAATTCAAGAGCGAATCATCTTGACTTTTTTCTATTTTGCCATTATAGAGTTTTTCATCTAATTTTTGTAAAGTGGTATGAGAAACTAAGAGGTGGGGGTTTATTGGATTAGAGGGTTCATCAATGGAGTTTACTGGTGGGAAAGGTATGAAGAGAGAAAGACGGTAGCCTGGTTTTCTATTTTTCTTCTTCTTTTTCTATTTTATTTTATAATTTTGTCGGTTGCCGGGGTGAGTCGGCGGAGGAGGATAATGGCAGTGGTGGGGTTGGTACTCGATGACATGCGTTGTCGCGCTGGTGGAACGTGAAAGGTGCAGAGGTTGTGCAGAGGTTGGGTGGGTGCTCTCAGAGAGAAGGGAGGGAGAAGGGAGGGAGGGTTGAGGAAGAAGACAACTTTTTTTTTTTTTTAATGTTTAATTTTTAATTATTTTTAATATCCACGTGGAACCCTTATTGACATGTGGCGCCCAGTCATTGTCCACATGGGCGCCAACTCATCACTTAACAGAATTTCTAACGAAAAACTTAACGGATGTATGAGACTGTCCCAAAATTTACACTTTAGGTATGACTCTGAGACGAAAAAAAATTGATGTACTAAATGTTGAAAACCACGAAACATGAGGGTAGTAAACAGTCTTTTACCCTTTTATTTTAACTAGCCTCTCTCCACACACGTGTGTGTGAGGGATATTTTTGCATTACGGGCGCTACGCGCCCTTAAATGTATACTGTGTTAGTTTGTCAATGTATACGTTTCAGAACACGCATTAACGTGCATGCGAGAGACATTTTTGCATCAAGGGCGCTATGCGCCCCTAAATGTGTATTGTGTTAGTTTTTTTCCATTGTAATTGTCAATGTATATGTTTAAGAAAGTATGATACCAAGTATGGAGGTAAGAGATGAAATCTAGAAGATAGCTGCACATAACTGGAAGCAATAAATTTGAAGTTGTTGACATGGATACTTCTCACACACAGCAGTGCCTATTATGGTGTTCTCTAACATTACCTTCGCAAGCATGAAGCATGTACAATATAACTTATTTTCGTTTTCCCTGTATTTTAAAATCAATTAACTTGGGAAAGCTCATAATGTTTTCATTGGTCACTTCACTAAGGCTCGTCTTCGGCAAAGGATCATGATGATGTGAAGACCTCAATGTATTGTTGTGGAGGACAAAGCACATACTCATGAGCTATTGTCTTTGTTTGCTAAAGGACTACGTTAATAAGGGAAAAGATTTTTTACCAAAATGTAGAACAAAGGTGAAATAAAATGTGGGAGAGCAGTAAATATGATGTTTGTGGTGCTTTTTGTACTCGGGGTCGGGGATGAATTTTATTTTATGTTTTGTTTTGTTTTTTTTTTTTATGCAAATTCGGATTTAGTGGTAACTATTGTTGTAGTTGATTTTTCAGTGGAGTTGTGTTGTGGATTGTGGGAAACAAACTAAACTTCCATGTTATTATGCAAAGACCATGATCAGAGTTTGGTTTGATGGGAACCAATTGGCAGGAAACGTATATGAAGCCCTTGGCGTCTATCCGAATTTTCAATATATAGATCTAGGGGTGTGATATCCATACACCCCGTTTTACTTCTCACACACCTTTTTAATTTTCTGCCGTCGGATCGGATGAATTGAATAAGATCAACGGATGGAAATTATCAAGAGTGTGTGAGAAGTAAAATGGGGTGTGTGGATAGCACATCCCATAGATCTAAGCAACATAAATTATACAACAAAGTCTCACGTAATTGAGGAGGAAATGAAACCGATTACAAATGTAAAAATGAAGTCAACCTTCTTATAATTGAGATTTATAATATGAACATTCACAACTCAAAATACACAAAATTATAATAATCATGTAAGAATAGATATTGAATAGAGGACAAAAATGATTACCCAAGCCGTAAGTGCTTTGGGCAAAATGGGGATTGTGATATTAATTGAAGATTAAGAATGTTTTTGGCTGTGATGTTTGTATGTTTACTCAGTACATAGAGTAAGGAGAAAAATCATGTCTTTGTACGACATCTTACCACTCATGTCTGCATTGGTTGTGTTGTCGAAGAAGATGAAAACTCTTCTCTTGGCCAAAACATTCTTCTCAAAAGTAGTTGGGTGGACAACCGATCGCACCTTATCCACTGTGGCATGCAGCCTGCAAAATTATTTAAAGTGATATTTTGGATGCGGTCTCTAATCTCTAACACATTTTGACTAAAACCTTAATGGTATTCAAAATTTGATCAAAGTCTCTTGACTTTGTACACCTCATTATATTACTATTAATATTTATATTTTTATAGTTTTGACATTAATTGTTTGATATGTTATGAGATTTATAATCCTATAAATTTAAAATTCCTCATTATAATACTATTAGGAACGGTTACAATAAAAAAAATTCAAACATTTTGATTGAATAAATGGATAAAAACTATGTAACAATAAGAAATAAAAAATGGCAAAAGAATGTATCCATAGTGTTAAAAAAATTGGTACATTTTACAAAAACATTGGTACATTTCACATATAACAAAGTGGTATATTAATAAAGAAGAATGGGTACATTATAAATAAATTAGGGTACAAATAAAAGATTAAAAAATTATGAGTACAATGAAATTTTAAAAAATATGGGTGCAAAAAGAAATTAATACATGGGTACAAATTAAAACTAAAATGAAAATACTACAACTTTAAAAAAAGGTTGCAAATTAAAAGTGGGTACAAACTAAAAATATAAATATATAATACAAAGTTTAGCCATAAAACATAAATATACCATATGTAATTTTTCTATCATTGATTAATTATACAATGTTACGTGAAGGTAAACATATGGGCACAAATACAAATAAAACTTTAAAAAATACGGGCACAAAAAGAAATTAATATATGGGTGCAAACTAAAAATAAAAATATATAATAAAAAATTTAGTCATAAATATAAATATACTAATTGTAACATTTTTAACACTAAGGGAATATATTTAAAAATAAAAAATATTTTATTATTGAAATAATTAATGATGTTATTAATACCCAATGATCTTGATCAAAAATTGAAAAAGAATAAGATTTTAATCAATAGAGTAGCAAAATGAGGAATGAGAACCTAATTTCTCCTTATTTAAATGTACCCACCAGTTCAAATATTTTCTGAAATGGAAGTCCATCTCTTCCTCCTTTGTTTTATTTTTCTGGCCGTGTGTAACTAAAACGACCCAAGTAACTCTCTAATGCGTGGAATCTTTATTGGATTATCCTTCTCCATGTTCCAATCTTTATCTATGCCTTTGCTTCCATTCAAATCTTTATCCTTCTGCACATTCAAAGAAACAAAGAAAATGAAAAGATTGACTTATTTACCAGATTGCATCGTTTATATATGAAAGGACAGCCCTGGTCATGTTATGATTTATTCTATCTTGCCGATAGAATGAAACGAAAGCAAAGAGAAACATGAGAAGGAGAAATGAAATTGATGAATGGTAAACAAATGTTGGATGGCGAAAGAATAAATCGATGTTGAGAAAGAATTTCGAACTTTTGTCACTGATTTGATTGCTCAATTCTTTTCTCGAATCTGGTATGTTGGTTGTTCTTCTTCTAGAGAAGCACCAAGTTTTCTCTATCAATGTGTTGTCTACACGTAAAACAAAAGCTATGAAGGTATGCAAATGAACTATTTATGTTGCCTTATTTAATATAGGTTTTTATGTGTTCTACATGTCCTTCATTTTTTCGTATTCTTTTTTCTCCATTTCTATTTTATTTGATTTATAAATACATTAAGTTCTCTTTTAATTGGCTATATAATGTGTGTGAGAGGCTTTATTAAACATGCGCACAATGGATGTCTTACACATTTGTCACATTTAACACACGTCAAGAATACAACTAAGAAAAGTATTACTCTCTATCTTGATAGATTAAAAAACATGTATTAGCATGTCCTAACATATGATTCTGTTTTGAGGGTCTAATTTGTCAATATTTGAAAGACACTCTTGTGCTCTCTTCAAAACAATAGGCAAGACAACAATATTGTTGGGAACTTTATCTTTTGTTCGATCACATCTTCTCAGTATCTCCATTAGCCGTTAAAACCTTCTCTATTAGAAGCAACTTGTCCTACAGCTGCATAATAAGCTCATATTAAATGCTTCATTAACAACTGGAGTGTTGTCAAATGGCATGTAGGCATACTCAATTGAAGGTGAGGTTCTGATCATGACAGAGTGCAAGAAATCCTGCATCATATTCAACCGAAACACCAATTAAAAGGCAAAAAGCTATATAATAAATTTTAGCTGGTGTTTGTTCTAAAACTTTAATCCATAAGAACCACAAAGGAACCTAAAAAAGTAGGAACAACCACATTTTAAGCTAGAAAAACGATAATTTTTTCTTTTTAAGTTTTTACCTATACATGCATAAAGCGTATGTCTAATTTCATGTTATATCTACAAAGAGTAAAGCAATTACAATTCATCTAATCTGAAGAGTTAGAAACGGTAGCCAACCATGCAAAGAAGTTCTCCATAAAAAAAGGAATGCAAAGAGAAGGATTTCTCAACGACAGACATCTTTTGCTCAAGATTTCTCTTGTCAAACATTTGTTTAGTAGAAATTGTTACCAAGCATCATGATCATGATGGTTTTTTTCTCAGGCATTTCATTAAACTATACACATAAAACAAAATATAAAATGTCAAACAAACCAAATATTGGACTTGCCGCTTCCAGTTGCCATGGAAATCAAGTAGTCACTTCCCTTCTCTATGTTTATCTGGATATCTTTCTTTCTGTATAGAGGACCCATAGTTGCTATCTGAAACATTAAAAAATGAAAAGTAAATAAAAAAGAAAAGGGAGACAACTAAAACACGAAAATATAGAGCAGGGGACGAAGAGAAAAGGTCTTCCCCGGAAAATTTGACCATACCAATTTGATCTCAATGGTAAGTGGGTAGTGTGCCAAAGACAGACAAAAAAATGAAACACAAAGGAATTGAATTAAATTCCAATAAACTCCCATACAATTATATGGCATAGATGACAAATCAGTAAAAAGTGGAGAAAGGAAACCTGCTTCACCCACAGAATCACCAGAGACAAATACCCAATCCTTGTTCATAAATCTGCAAGATAAGAAAACATAACTATATGCTAATCTTAGAACCAAACTATGTGATCCATTGAAAAAAAAAAAACAGAAACAATGAAAAGAGTGCGGTGATCCAACAACTGCATGGAATCATAGAAGAGGAAACCTGTAATTCTCTTCAAATTTATGAGCGAGCAGTGGCTTTTGTATCATCTTCTCTTCCTGCAAAACTGTTTCAGTTTTTTCTTTTTAGTTTCTTACTTTGTGTCCTTCTATATATCTCTCATCCAGCAAAACTGCTTCTTTTTGCACGATTAAGGCATTTCTTTTCCTCCTCAACCCTACTCTGCATGTTCACGTTTATCTCTCCTTGTGCCTTCTCCATGTATTGGTTTTAAATTCCGTTTTATTTTTTCTTTATTTTTTTATTTATTTATTTTTTCCAATACAGTTTTTTGTTGAGTTATGATTTTTTACCAGTTTGTCCCTGCTATTTTGTTTCTATTATTTTCAATTAGTTGTAGATTTTTTTGTTTGAGGGGCTTTATTGTCCAATTATTTTTTATGAAGCCTTGAGACACCAAACCCTCATTTTGACTTTCTAATATTAAAGATACATCTAATACAAGGGAGTCTTAATGAAGCACTTATGTTACTGTTTACTTTTAACGTTAAGGACATTTTTACTTTAAAAAGTTACTCATGATACTATTTACTTACAACACTTTTTTGTCCTTTTGGTTAAAACTCAAAATTTTCAAGTTTCTTTAATTAGTTTTCCTTTAATACAACTATATTTTACGGTCGAACATTATATTTAATATCAATATGATGATTGTATTATACTTGTAAACATTAATTTAAAATTAATATCAATTTATTATGAGTGATACATTATGTAGTTTTGCCAATATTTCCAATATTTACCGTAAACTAAATATATAATTCTATAAAAAAAGGTTTTAATTGCCGTAGTTTTTTATTTTGAACAATATTTCAATCTAATTTAGAATACGAGAGCGAAATTCAAACTGTGTTGCATAGGAGAGGGTACATTGTTCCTAGTCAAGGTTTTAAAAGGTGCTAGGTGCTAATAGGACGGCGGGTGCGGATCTTGCACCTAAGCGTTTAGGCGGTGGCCTAGGCGGTTTTTATAATTATAATTAAATTTATTATATAACATATAAATAAAGTCTATTTATACTTAAAAAAATACATAATATTGTATTCGGGTTAATTACAAAATAAAATAATATATAAATTATAAAGTATCAGAACATATTGAAAACATGGAGAACAAGCATATAACGAGTGTTCATCCAAATATCTACAAGTCTCTTATAATTTAGCGAAAAAATAAAATACAAAATGAAACTAATTTATTTTTTTGTTTTAGTGAGAGTCGCGACCCGCCAATGCCTACATAGAGTGCCTAGGCAGTCCTAAGTTCAATTTCTTAATTTTCAAATGCATAAGAATTAATCAAGGTATAACAACAACTCTACAGATAAAATGACATTTTTACTCTCTTAAATGGTCATAAGTCAGTCTTTTGAGCTTGTGGGATAAATAGGGTGAATTAAGGGTCCCCTACGTTTGTTTAGCCCTCCTTCAATATCGTTTGTATCCAAAAAAAAACAAAAAACAAAAGAATTGCATAAAACAAGCACGAAATAACAACTTTGAAGGCATTCCCCTTCGGAGCAAACCCTACTTTATTGGTTTTTGCTTCGGTTGCTTGCATAAAACAAGCATGAAATAACAACTTTATAATAAATAGAAAGTTTATGCTTCCCATAGAAACAAACGATGCAGTTGCTTAGTTATTGAAGGGGTAGCAACAAAGCCATTTTCTGCTCTGGCACCGGCTTACTGATTCACGTCGGGGAAAAAAGAAGTTAAAGAACCGGCGGCTTCTGGAAACAGTCGTTGAGGTTGGACCCCATTTCCTTCCTGGACATGGCGATGATCGTTGGTTGCTGATGACAGGCTAGAGTTCATGTTCACAGAAAATGGAATGGAGTCTGCAGTCTGTCCAAGTGAAGGTGTTGTCTGCCCTTTCCAAAGCCAGTGCATCAAGTCATTTGATCTTCCCATGGAAGCGTGCGCCACTTGTGAAGGGAAATTGGTTGGCAGCTGCTGCCGGAAGTTGGAATGAAGGGGATCATTGCTTCTTTGATAACCGAAACCAAATGGGGATTCATAACTGGTTTGAACACGCACGAGACATGGAAAAGGTGCATGCAATTAAGATTCAAGATGGTATTAAGAAAAATGAAGGACAATGAACACAATGCGGTTTTCAAAATGACTTGGGAGATTTGAGTATATCGAAAGCTTACCCGCCCTCAACAACTAGAGGAACAAATGGTGCATTTGGCATGCCAATATAATCAATCCCGGAACTCAAGGTTGCCGATGGATACAAAGACCAATTAGCACCACCAGTATAGTCACCGGTTGAAAGCAAATTGGTACAGCTATCACAAATTAAAGGTTCGGGTCTCCAGTCAATCCTGGAAGGATTCGAAGGAAATACCTCGCTGGGTACCGGAAGGCCAGTCCATTGATTGTAGGTATAAGGATTACCAGAAAAGACCGAATAAGGGTCAAGCAAACCCGCTTCAAAATGTGGTTCTGAGCCTGTTGTGAAACTAGTTTTATATCAACTGATAATTTGAACTTAAGGTGAAAGCAAAAGAAGATGAACTTACTGTGACGGGTAGGCGATAACCATCCCATTTCCCTACAAGTTTTGAAACATACATATATAAGGCAAAGATCAAAAGAGGCACTAATCATGTTGTGAAGTTCAATAAACTGCTTGGAAATAGATGTGAGTTTCATGATTTCTGCACACGTTAACTTTTTTCATTGATTCTGTTTGCACTTGGAGCACACCGAAATTATCTCTCGTTATGTTCCTACGGTCCTCTTGGGCCATAATCTCTAGAGAAGAATCAGAATATCAGCAACCTAATTATTTCTGTTTGATATAAAATCTATCAAAAGGAAAGAATTGAAGCACAACTAGCAAATGCCAATTGAAGTAACGGGACACAAGTTAATTTAACATATCAATCTGACCTATTAAATAGACAGCCTACTCAACACGAATTTACAGTTTTCACATGTTAATAAAACAGAACGATTTGTATATTCTGATGACAATTAAGATGACATGAGAGCAACATCTAACACAAAAGCAGAAGGAGAGTAAGGAGCTTGCAGAGTCGAAACAGTGTTTACCATTCACCGTGATGGAAACGGCGTAGCATAGTTCCCTGTAGCCCCTGAAACATCCACAAACGTATTTACGAACTAAGAAATATTTTTACAAAGAACATTAAACATCCAGGTATGGTGTGCGATGGACAATGCTACTCACGAAATGGATGAAATTTACAGTCTAACAATATAAATTGGTTTTATCTATTTACAGATTTATAAACTACGCACATTAGTTATCGCATCTTGTTATGTAGGGGGGTGCACATCGTATTGTTTCTTGGCTCATACTCGCGATTCACTCAAATTTTACAACTTCTGTGAAGCTTGTTTGATTTGAAAAGAAAAAAAAATATTGATAAATGCTGTGATTACTTTTACCATGTCAAGGAACTCTATAGGACTGTCCTCATAATCCATCTCGTCCTCAGATAGGTCGGGCTCACGGTCAGGGCTACGAGATACATAGTACCTCCATTTGCCATTCTCAATTTCGCGACAATTAGGGCATTCCATGATACCCTTTACATTGAATGCAGAACCAATGCAATCTGAAGAAACAAGAGAGATAAGCATAAACCAGCACACTACATTTAGACCAAAAGCCATTTGAAATAGCTCCAACCAAGTTTAATGAGAAAACCAACAACTATGAATTAACTCAATTTAAACACCCTTGAGTTCTAAGATTTACATCAATGCTGTTGAAACAACCAATTTTCGAACAACTTAGGCACACAGAATCGCAAAAACAAATTTCGGACAACCTGATTTTTCGAAATCCTCCAATGTTTTCCTGATCCACATTTAAACAACACAGATAGCCTTGTTTTTCATGAACACACATTCAGGACATTGACTATTGAACTCATAGTGTCGGTAGTTCCAGCATCAACACACATTCAGGAAATAACAAAACAGTAATTGTGAACAAATATTAACTCCATAGTTATATTTACATACACAAGTATATGTGTGTGTGTATATATAGTAAATCCCAAAAACTGTAGAATTTTTAATATGTTGTGCTGAGCTGACCGCTAAAAGAGGAGTGTCAAAATCGATATCCTATAAATATACAAAGGATATACATACACAACATTAGGAAAAAAATTCAGTTAAAGCAAAAAAAAAAATTGTTCAAAAAAGGAAATAAAATTAGAGAAAATGATTTTTGCACGTTTTTTTCTCATTCTACACATCGCGGTTTTTTTTGTTCATTGATTCCTCTTCAAACTCAGCTCGATTAAAAGGCCAGAAATAAACCCGGGTGTGCATGCGAAAAAAATGGTATGAAAATCAGCTCACCGAGGTGAAACAAGTGAGAGCACTGAAGCTTGACGATAGTGCGGCCACAGTTGTCAGAGACGCCCTCCATGCAGATGGAACATTTCACGGCTGTGGCGTCGTCGGATGACAAAACGGACGACGGAGAATCCATTTGCGCTGTTCAAGCACACGAGAAACGGCAGGGAGAAAGAGTGTAAAGAGGAGCAGAGAAGCAGAGAGGAGCAAAAAGACGCAGATATTTATACGGCCAGAGGACCAAAGTTGAACAAATTTGTGTTTCTCCCGCGTCTGTATATGGTAACTTGTTTTATCAGAGTGGCAAGTGTATCAATGCGAATTAAAAGAGGGTTTGGTTTTCCTGTGGTCGAGTCTATGTGGGTCGTTGAGGCGGTGGAATAGCCGGCTGACACGTGGAGGGGTTTTCGATATGTCGGATGGTGATTGGTTGGTTGATGTTTGGATTTGTAAGCTTCGTGTGGTTTTAGACGTGTTTGAACATTGAGTTGTATTGATGATGAGTGGGCCAAGGATAATCTAACGGTCGTGATTCAATCTTCGATGCGTTCGAGAAAATAAATTGAATTTTTATTTAAAAAAATTCAATTTTCGTACATGTGAGCGTTACGGTAGTCTAGTGCGTTCCACGTAATTGTTATCAAAGTCATTATATTAAATGCGGGAGGATATTATTTGCTTAACAGTTGACGTTTGTCTGTCAATACGTGAACACTGTGTTGGCTTTATTTGCATCATCATGAAATTTGTGTGACAATTAAAGTCGTACAATGCAATTTCCTTGTTTGTCTTGCGCAATTGAAAAGGGATAAGGAATTTGGTTGTAAAAAATTTAAAATTATAATCGCGATCAGTTTTTGTTGTTGATACTCAATTTCTACAAGGCCCGATTGAGTGACTTGAATAACCTCAAAAGGAAAAGGAAGAACATGTGACGATTTTGACAGGACCAAACCTAAAATTACATGCATACATTTGCGTGGAAAGTTAAGCAAATCTTAATACTTGAGCGACTGACTACTTAAGGCTGAATAAACTCCAACAAAGAAGTAATTAAGGATAAAAGAAAATTTTAAGAAAAACTAATGAAAATAGCTTGAAAACTTCGAGTTTTTATGAAAATGACAAAATAAAGGGTAAAGTGAATAGTACCAGGATTGACTTTTTAGTGTAAAATGTGATTTTTTGTTAAAATAAACAGTATTGGGTGCTTGTTGTTAAAGTTCCAAAAAATATAAGGATAAACATGATATATTTAGGAAATGGTTGACAAACCATGTATCCCTATTAATTAATAAAACAATCACTGTCAACCAAAACCCTATAAAATTACCAGTTTATCCATCTAATTAAAACGTAACATGAATAAGAAATATATGGCAGAAATGTAATTTCACACAACCAAATTTTGCTTTTTTTTTTCTTTCCAAAACCTCATATACATGTAATCCTAACATATCTTTAATTTAAAAAAAAAAAAATCTTCCCACTCCCACATTCTCTATCACTCTCTTCCTCTCTCCTTCTATTTCAAAAACAAAAATAAAAAAATTTCTCAAATACTTTGTTTGTGCCCATATGCTATTATAGATAAAAGATGTGCAAACCATTCCACAAAAAAAAAAAAGATTATTGTTCAAATTAGTAGATAATGTCCTTTAACAAAAAAAAAATGTAGATAATGTCCTAATCAAATTTGAATTAATTGGGCCTTGTTTTATTACAATTCAACAGGCCTTTTTAGGCCCAAATTAAAAGTCCAGAAACTCCTAACAAAGCTAAAACTAGTCCGACCCAATCATCCAAAAAACCTCGTTCTACTCGGACTTGGAAACGAATATCCCCGATGGCTTAGAAGAAATTTTACAGAAAAGCGAGTACATTCCCGTAATTTCCCAGTTGCCCACCATCCTGCCATCTCCGTGTTCTTCCCAAACCCTCGCCTTGCCTATATATATCGGTTGCCAGGAAATTCTCACTCCCTCTTACTCTTTTCGCTGCGTCGCTCTCTGCCCTCCTCTCAAATCCCAATCTTTGTTGTTGGAGCGATCCGAGCCGCAATTATGTTGGTTTACCAAGACCTCCTCACCGGTACAATTTTTTCCCTAATCTTGTCCTGCTCATATTCAAATTAGGGTTTGTTTTTCTTTTTTTCGGTTCCAAAATTAGGGTTTCGATTCGTTAGTTCTAATCTGTTTGAAAAAAAAAATATGAAGTTGGATCTCTGTTTAATCTCCAAATTTTATGTTATGGTACGGATCTGGCGCCAAATTGTTGCTTTCCCGCCGTGTAAATTGTTTTACAAATCCTTCGATTACAAAAAATCTAATTTATATTGCTCGGTGATTTATGATTATCGAACTCTTTCTGTATTTATTTTATGTAACTGGGTACTGGGTACGCATGTTAATTATACTGTGCGAAGCTTTTGAATTTTATGTTAAACTTGCTAATTTATAATTTTGATATGTTGTTAGGATAGTCGTGTAATTAGAAAATATTGGAATTGGATATATCTGTGGATATGGTGGATATTGTGACGCAATTTTTAAACTAATTGTGTAAACTACTTGAACAGTTGAACTTAGAAAAGATTATAGATTTGTTTATGATGTCTGCTGGATCTGTTATTTTTTTTGTTTTCTTCTTTTTTTTTTTTAATTTTTTTAAATTTTAAATATGATGTTCTTGTTTTCTTTAACTAATATATTTAGTTGATTTTCTTTTATCAAGTTGTTGACCAAATTCATGCTTCTATTATAGGCGATGAGCTTCTCTCGGACTCGTTTCCATACAGGGAAATCCACAATGGAGTGCTCTGGGAAGTTGATGGCAAGGTGAGTTGGTCGATTCTTTGGTTTTTTTATTTTCGTTCCACACTTGTTGAACTGTATAGGGAAAATGCTTTGTTGTTGTTGTTGTTGTACTTGTTGAACTGTCTTTGTAATTTTATTATAAGTTTAACCGCTCGTTAGAAATATTTAGCTGTGTTTGCAATGTAATTTGAAGGTCAAATGTATAAGTTTAAGCTTTTTCCTGCGGGGTGTAGTCAAGGTGGTTGTTATTGAACTTTGTGGTTATAGGTTTATTTTGATATGGATCACCTGTATAAGGTTAATATGTTGATTGTTATGAATTGCGTAGTTGATTAACTGTAAGTTGTTTGAATGATTTTTGGTTCGCAGTGGGTTGTTCAAGGAGCTGTTGATGTAGACATTGGTGCAAATCCATCTGCTGAAGGTGGAGGTGAGGATGAGGGTGTTGATGATCAAGCCGTCAAGGTTGTTGACATTGTTGACACATTTAGACTTCAGGTATGTGGTGCTTACTGTACTGTTGCTCTCCAAGGTTCTTTGTGAGTAGAAATTGATTGTTATTGTCTGATGCTTGCAGGAGCAACCTCCATACGACAAGAAGCAGTTTGTCACATGGGTGAAGAGGTATATCAAACTGTTGACACCCAAGTTGGAGGGGGAGAGCCAAGAGGTGTTCAAGAAGAACATTGAGGCAGCAACCAAGTTTCTGCTTGGGAAGCTCAGCGACCTCCAATTGTAAGTTTTGTTGATACTGCGCCCATGGTGATTGATTGTTCCGTAATCATAAACTAATGTCGTGATCCTATCAGTTGGGGGTTCACTCGTTTCTATGTTACTCAATGATATTAACATTGAATCGGATGTTGTTTGCAGCTTTGTTGGGGAGAGCATGCATGATGATGGCGGTTTGGTCTTTGCGTACTACAAGGAGGGCGCGACCGACCCAACATTTATCTACTTTGGTCATGGTTTGAAGGAGGTCAAGTGCTAAGCAATTGGCCGAGAGAGTTCCAAGCAGAATGCATGTTGTAATCCTAGTCTATATTATTGCTTTCTTTACTTTTTATGTTTAGAATTGGAGGATGAGGAGTCTATTTTTGCTTTGTTTCGTTAGAATATTGCGCGTTTGTTGACTTGGATTTATGCCTATCTTGGTTTTAATGGCTTTTCAACTTGGATTTCTAATTTATGTGGTTCTAAATTTTGATTGCGAAATAACATTGTGTTCTACATTTTACCGCCTTCAAGTCGCTTTCGTATGCCGTCAAACAGTTGAAGGTGTGAATAGTTGGAACTGGTAATAGTTCTAGTTCATCTTTCAATTTCACCAACAAATCTAAATATGTCCCCTTTTCTTCACGCATTTTCCGGAGTTCTGGAGAGAGCCGCAATCAATAGGATTTTCTTAATCTTCCCTTCCCGAAAGAAAGAATGTGAGATTTCTTTCTTTTTTCTGCAGGAACCACAAGATTGGATCTAGCTGTAAGAAGAATGTTTGGCTAATGAATGAGTACTGAGCTTGTTTGTCCTTGTCAAACCTGGGATTTTACTGTAATTTGAATGCCTCCGGTAGTTTGGAATATTCCGAGGATACGGTCCTCGGTTACAAATATACCATCTAACGGTCCTTGTTTGCGAATAGGTTTTTTTAGCCAAAATAGTCAGATTTGCATAACACATTACTTTGGTCTTTGAGATTGAAAATCAATATAAATGGTTCTGAGATTGTCCATCATCTATTATTTTGGTCATTTCGTTAAAAACTCCATTAAGTGTCCCGGAGCTCTTGGCCGAAAATTTGGGCAATTTTCAAAGCTTCGTAACTCAATAGTTTCTTAATCAAATTCGGCCCATAATATATCAAAATGAAGATAGGAAAGTGTAGAACAAGATTATACCTATTTGGAAGCCCAATGGTTGCCGGAGATGGCAGGAAAATAGCCTAAAAGGTGACTGGTGGTCTGTGGAAAAACTGGAAAACTCGTCGGAAATTGAACAAACTTTAAATGTTCATAACTTCCTCAATGCTCAACGAAATTGAGTGATTCAAAAATGAAAATCGAGTGATTCAAAAACGAAAATCATACTTCTTGACGAGACGAAGAGAATGGTACCTTTTTTGACGACTAATTCGCTGTGGTTTGGCCGGAAAATGGCTCGAAAGTGGCTAACTAGAGACCAAGACAGCCACTTTCGAGCCATTTTCCAGCCAAATCACAGAGATTTAGCCTTTGAGAAATGTATCATTCTCTTCGTCTCGTCAAGAAGTATGATTTTCGTTTTTGAATCACTCGATTTCATTGATTATTGAAGAAGTTATGAACGTTTAAAGTTTACCTAGTTTCTGGCGAGTTTCCCAGTTTTCCCGCGGACGAGTCACCTTTCAGACTATTTTTTGGCCATCTCCGGCAACTATTGGGCTTCCAAATAGGTATAATATTGTTCTACACTTTCCTATCTTCATTT